CTCCGGGATGCCCGGGCCCCGGGTCTCTGCTCGCGGGCGGCTGGGCCGATGCCACGTGTGGAGCCCGGAAGGGGCGGCGGGCACCTGCCCGGCCCGGGGAGCGCGCGCGCGTCTCCGGGACGCCCCTGCTCCGGCCGATCCCACTCGGGGAGCCCTGAGGGGGCGGCGGGCACCTGCCTGGCCCCGGGAGCGCGCGCCCGGCTCGGTGGTCTGCACGAGGGCGGCTGGGCCGATCCCACACGGGGAGCCCGGAGGGGGCGCGGGCACCTGCCCGGCCCGGGGAACGCGCGCCCTTCCCCGGGACGCCCCTGTTCCCGTGTCTGCACCCGGGCAGCTGGGCGGATCCCCAGAAGGGATCGTGCAGGTGGCGCGGGCACCTCCCGCATCGGACTGTTCCCCTCACTCCTCTCTCCCTGCTCCAAATCCAAGTTCGGGCGTGGATGGAGGTTCTTGGGAATCTACTGGAAAGAACCTTAATGGGTGGACGAGAACGGGCATGTCCCTGAGATATTCGGCCCTTGGTGTCTGTGCTCAACTTGGTGTCTGTGCTCAACTGCCTCGCCCTCAGGTCTCGGCACCTTAAGGGGTGCGGTCGGCGCCGCGTGTCCCCGTTACAGGACTGTTTCCGCATAAGTAGCAACGATGTCGCCTTCGTAGGGGCATGATTGGGCCTGCAGGCTGTTCCTGTATGGGTCAGAGTATCCGGGCCGCTCTGCACTGAGCAGGGCACCTTCCCCAGGTGGTCACTTCTGGTCCCACGTGCGGCGGATTTCCAGGTGTCCTCCACAGGGCTAGTGAGGAGTCCAAGGGTCCCAGGTGGCTAAGTGGTCTGAATCATGAAGGATTGCTTGTAATGACTTAGGTCCACTGTCATCTTGGAGTTCACCTTTAAGTGATGTTTTTGAATTGTAACTCTCGGTGCCTGAAACCGGGCGGGCCCTCGTGCCAATTTCCCAGAACCTTCCACTCTCCCTTCTCCCTCCCGATTTGGCGGCTGAGCTCTCCTTCAGGAGTGAACAGGAGATCCCCCTCCTGGACTGCCAGCACAGCAGCTAGCACGGGCCGGCCTGGACCTGTTGTTTTAACTAACAGATGCCCTGCGGATTTTAAGTTTAGCTGTGGCTTTTAAAGGAGTATTTTGAGCACCTTCTTCTGCACGGATTAGCCAGTTCAAATGGCGATACCCTTCAGGACCTGCTTTTAAAAGACTATGTCTTGGGGCGCCTGGGTGGCGCAGTCGGTTAAGCGTCCGACTTCAGCCAGGTCACGATCTTGCGGTCCGTGAGTTCGAGTCCCGTGTCAGGCTCTGGGCTGATGGCTCGGAGCCTGGAGCCTGTTTCCGATTCTCTGTCTCCCTCTCTCTCTGCCCCTCCCCCGTTCATGCTCTGTCTCTCCCTGTCCCAAAAATAAATAAACGTTGAAAAAAAAAAAAGACTACGTCTTTTTGTTTCTTTATTTAAATATATATATGTTGTTTTAATGTTTATTTGTTTTGAGAGAGAGAGCAAGAGAGTAAGTGAAGGAGAGGCAGGGAGAGAGGGGGAGAGAGAATCTCAAGCAGGCTCCGCGCCGTCAGCGCAGATCCCCATCTGGGGCTCGAACTCACCAACCGTGAGATCATAACCTAAGCCGAAATCAGGAGTCGGTCGCTTAACCGATTGAGCCAAAGACTGCTCCTTAGGGTCTCAAGCCAACGTTCACACAAACCTGAGACAGCTCAGCTTCCGGGGGTTCATAGTATTTGTTTGTGTACCGGCACCCCAAAGACTATTTCTGCAGTAAAATAATTTTAGACGTTTTGGAACCATCCAAAACCTGAGAGAAAACCTGGTTGGCACAGCCTGTGGTCAAAACATTTCCTGGCCTGTTTTTAAATTATTCACACTTGGCGGAGTTTTACCTCCAACCAGGTTCTTCGCTTCACCGGATTGGCTTCCCTTCTTTAAAAACGTTTACAACTTGGTACACTTCTGGGTGCTTTGCTTGGATACGTACTCGGTTTCCTGTATTCAGCGCTTGTGTATATTTTCGTAATGTTTTCATGCTCACGGCACCCAAGGTGTTTTTCGTACAGCGGTTCTACAAAGATGAGTAAGACAGTTCCTTCTCTGGAGTGCCTTATAATCTAATTACAGCCTCAGGAGAAAATTCACAGCAGTTTTTCACGTGCCTTTGGAGAAAAAAGAGAGAGAGCGAGCAACTCCCCACGCAGGCTAAGGAGAGCATCTTGAATCCTGGCTCCGCAGTGGGGTTTCTGTGGGGAGCTCAGGTGATCGCCGCGTCTAACTCAGAATAGGAAGAGAACTTTGAGGACTGGGGTGAAGATGTCTAGCTTGCCCCTCGGTCTTTCTCAGATTCCACCGTTACCAGCTCATTTGGGCACGAGTCGAGCAGCGGGCAGGCCACAGAAGGGCGCCGCGATGCGAGTCTCGAGGAGGTGTCCTCTGGGAGGCTGGTGGAGCAGACGGGGTCTCTGTCCTCCGTGGCCCGTAGCCGTGCTCACGTCGTCAGGAAAATTAAAAAAGGCAGATACGTCTGCATACGTCATGTCACTCCACAAAGGGCCTGTGGAGGGCCCCGCGGTGTAATACCTGTGCACGAACAAGTACATACATCCCCCCGGGAGCTGAGCTGTCTCAGGTTTGTGTGAACGTTGGCTTGAGACCCGAAAGTTGGATGCCATAGAGCAGAGCGACCGAAGCTTTGTCACCCCGTGCGACGTATGATCGTGGGAAGGTTTGTTCAGCACCTCGGGGCGTCCACGACCGTCAGTGTGTATTAAAGGCACGTTGACTGGGGGACTTTAACAGGCAACCCAGAAAGAATAAATCTTCCCCATAAATGCAAAGGGCAGAGATGACCAGCTGTTCACTTTGAGCTTGAAGAATTTCTCTGTGGCTCCTCACCATCTAGCAGAGGAAGGTCTAACTTTGAACTTGGGTCAGCAAACCTATTTACGAGGTACTCACCATGAGCCAGTCACAGGGTTGATCTGGGGAACGCGAAGGCGGCTGAGACACAGCCCCTCCTGCCCTCCAGAAGCTCCAAGCGAAGGGCACCTGGGGGGGCTCGGTCGGTGAAGCGTCCGACTTCGGCTCAGGTCACGATCTCGTGGTTTGTGGGTTCGAGCCCCGCGTCGGGCTCTGTGCTGACGGCTCAGAGCCCGGAGCCTGCTTTGGATTCTGTGTTTTCCTCTCTCTCTGCCCCTCCCCCGTTCATGCTCTGTCTCTCTCTGTCCCAAAAATGAATAAACGTTGAAAAAAAAATTTTTTTTTAAATAAAAAATAAAAAAAATAAACATTAAAAAATAATAAAAAATAAAATAAAACATTTTATTTTAATAAAAAGAAGCTCCAAGTATGGGCTGCAGGTGGACCTGCCTACATATTCCGCTGAGCCAGCCGGTCCCCCAAACAATATCCCAAGTAGCTCAATGCACCGGCCTCTATTATTTAATCGGCCTTTTACACGCCAAACTCTCCTTCCATATTACTCTGCCTGATGTCGAGTTTCTCGAGATCTAACTCGGTTTATAAAAGCAAAACTATCAGCAGTACAGAGCAGAATGACCATCTTTAATTGACCATAAGGGAAGGATATTTGTGCTTTAAAAAGGAATCTGGTTGTTTAGATGGGCGGTAAAAGAGATATCTACAGTACGTTGCCCTGCTTTGTGTTTCTTTCTTTTTTTTCTTTATAAATTTGTTTTTAAATGTTTATTTATTTTTGAGGGACAGAGCGTGAGCAGGGGAGGGGCAGAGAGAGAGGGAGACACAGAATCCGAAGCAGGCTCCAGGCTCCGAGCTGTCGGCACGGAGCCTGACACGGGGCTCGAACTCACAAACCGTGAGATCATGACCTGAGCCAAAGTGGGACGTTTAACCGCCTGAGCCGCCCAGGCGCCCCATTGCATTTCTCTTAATTTGGGAGTGGATGTCCTGTGAAGGCAAGGATGGGGTTTATTGTGGGCACCACTGTTTTCCCCCCCCCCGCCCCCCCCATGCCTGGCTGAGAGAAAATGCTCAGGAAACATTAAATTGGTAAATTAAAGACTGAATGAGTGATTTGATGAGGGCACCAAGAGACAAGCCCGTTTCTCTGGTTCAGGCAGTACTATGAGACGAGTACAGGCTTTGAGGAAGATACAGAGAAACCTGTAGCCAACACGAGTGTCCCGGGGTAGCCTACACCTGTCCTCTGGCTGGGGACCGGTGACATCCCCCCATCTTGCTTACGCACAGAGCTTGGGTTTTGTTCTGGTGACGGTGGGCCTCCCCTGCTGCGACCATGGCCATGTGACTGGGTTCTGGCCAATGGTCTGTAAGAGGGGAACTCAGGTGGGGCGAGACTGAGCAGAGCCAGACCCTGTCCCTTTCTCCCTTTCTCTTCTGCTGTGTTACTGGAGCCACAGCAGCCACTTTGCAGCCGTGAAGAGTGAATGTCATGTAGCAGATGGTGGACACAAGAGGCAAGGATCCAGATGCTTCCTGGCGGTGGTGAGCAGCTGCCCGGCCCGCCTTTGTCTGGGCTTCTTGTTGGGTGAGAAAAAGAAACCACTTTATCGCTGCCGTTGGATACCGTGTTCCCTAGAGCCTAATGCAGTGATGAGGAATCCGCTTCAGAAATTAAAGGCAAAAGATGTTACGTCGTTCTTACCTGCTTTCTCAACAAGGACAAAGAGTATTTTGTTGATTGACCGTGGCACAGTTACGTCTGGATCCTGCTTATTCACCAGAGAAAAATTTTAAAGTGTGGCTAAAGGTGGGATAGATTTTTTTTTTTTTGAAGAGAGATCCGTTAAACTAACGCATCTGAAATGTGGGGGAAAAAAAGAATGAAAGCTTACAATTTTGGAAAAAACAGCATAGCTGATGGAGGCCGTTCCGGGGACCCCGCACCAGTGTTCATTAGGGGAAGGGGCCTTCCACTCAGCTAAGAGCTCTTGGAGGCAAACTGTCTTTTCCCAGAACCTTTTTCAGCCTGAGGGTGCTTCTCACAAATCTTCTAAATGAGCTGGAATCCAGCTGGGGAGATCTCAGAGACCCACGAAATGCTGAGAAAGCGTCGCAAGAGACGAAGATTGAAAGAAAGAAAACGCCAACCGCCCACAGATGCGTGTTTTCACAGTCCCATCCGCTGCAAGGGTGACTGTGTCTTCAGACCTGCCTTTTGCATGAGTCCCCCCTTAGCCTCCGTGTGGATTGTTGACGGGAGGCCCAGCATCCCTGAAATTGATCACAGCCTGGTAGGGACCTGTCCCCCTGGTTTCGCCCTGTGTGATCAGCACCAGCTCAAAGCACATTTGTCACTTGATTGGAATTCAGTTGCTGGGAATTTCTAACCACTTTTTTCAAATGTGCAGAGATGCAAAGGACTATGTGAAATAAATAGTGTTTCAAAAAAAAATTTTTTTAATGTTTATTTTTGAGAAAGAGAGAGAGAGAGAGAGAGAGAGTATGAGCAGAGGAGGGGCAGAGAGAGAGAGGGAGACACAGAATCCGAAGCATGCTTCAAGCTCCGAACTGTCAGCACAGAGCCTGACGTGGGGCTCGAACCCACGAACCGCGAGATCATGACCTGAGCCAAAGTCGGCCACCCAACCGACGGAGCCACCCAGGTGCCCCCATGAGTAATGTTTTAAAGTGGAAAGTGGGAATGGCCTTTTATATGCCGACCTTGAAAATCTAATTTTGAGGTGATAGTGAATAATATCTTGGTATTAATTTTAAGGGGTTTTTTTTTCCAGAATTGTGTATAGTTGCACCTTAAAACGGTACACATGAATGATTAATCTGTAGCGTTATTCCAGGGAATTTATAATAACAAATGCTAAACACATACTTCAAAAAATGGTAGGTTGCAGCAAAAGACCAGACAGAAAAAACTAGCGTGGCCTAATTGTTTATACATATCTCACGTCTGATAAATTTGATGTTTCAGATGAGTGAGGGTATATTAATTCACTCAATAGTTGGTTAAATGTTTGCAAAGAGATAAAGTTCAATTCTGATGGGTAAAAAAGAAATCAAGGATTTTTTTTTAAGTTTATTTATTTATTTATTTATTTATTCTGAGAGAGAGAGAGAGAGAGAGAGAGAGAGAGTGAGTGGGGGAGGGGCAGAGAGAGAGGGAGACAGAATCCCAAGCAGGCTCCACACTGTCAGCACAGAGTCCTATGCGGGGCTCGATCTCATGAACCCGTGAGATCATGACCTGAGCCAAAATCAAGAGTCAGATGCTTGTCCGATGGAGCCCCGATGTATAGAATTCTTAAATCACTATCTTGTACACCTGAAAGTAATAGAATACTGTATGTTAACTGTATTGGAATTATTTTTAAAATTTTATTTATTTTTATTATTTATTTTTGAGAGAGAGAGAGCGCGAGCGAGCATGAGTGGGGGAGGGGCAGAGAGTGAGGGAGACACAGAATCTGATGCAGGCTCCAGGCTCCGAGCTGTCAGCACCGAACCCGACGCGGGGCTCGAACTCACGGACCGCGAGATCATGATCTGAGCCGAAGTCAGACGCTTAACCAACTATTTTCAACGTTCTTTAATTGATCCAAAAGTTTTTTTAAAGGATTAAAGAGCCCTAGTACTCTGTTGGACATAATGTGGAAAAGTAAGACCTGGTCCACAGCTTCCTGGTGGGACTGCTCGCGGGTATCACTTTCTAGAAGGAAACTCGACAATGTGTATCAGAAGACTTAAAAGCGCGCCCCCTCGGTAGCCAAGTAATCCCGGTTGGATCGTAGCCTAAGGAAATAACTTGTTTTGCACGTGGATTTTAAATACTAGGATGTTTATGATGCATAGTTTATTATAGCAAAGGGAAAAAATTGATAACATCAAAGCCTGAAGTCAGGGATAGTGTGCTCAGACACGTGAGACCGGAATGGAAGCACATTTCATGTAGTGGGAAAATATCTATAGTGGTTGAATGAAACCAGTACGAAGTAGGTGCTGCAACACGAAAAAACAGTCCCGGGCCAGCGAGATTCTGGAGACTTTGATTTGGTTGGTCCTTCGTTTCTGGAGTCTGGGTATACTCATTATAGGTTCTGGACATGTACAATTTTTGTAATCAAGAGGGACTCGTAAGGGTCATTTTAAGCCAAACGGAGGAGGGGGGGAAGGAGAGGAAAGCAAGTACCTTAGAGTAATGAAGATGTTTCAGAACCGAACGTCCCAAAGATGAAGTCAGGCTCCACTCACGTGGGAGGAAAATAATGTTACGGCAGCTGAGACCAGCAAGGCTCTGCTGAGACCTACTATGTGCCAGGAATGTGGTGTTCCTGCAGGAAACGGAAGACCGGCCGGATCCCGGAGGACCTGTTTTTCCTCTCTCTCCTTCGGAGTCTCTATTATCTGATTGTGGGAACGTTCTCAGGCTGGTTCCTGCCCGGCCCAGGAATGTGCTTTCTCGTCTGTGCTGTTTCTTGCAGTGGCTCCCTCTCTGCCTCTCCCCCGTCCTTCCTCTGACTCCCCGTCCCGGCGATGGGGGTGGTGCTCCGGGATGGGGGGGAGGACAGCACTCGGGACTGGGAGCCTGTGCGCAGCTCTCCTTTGCCTCCTGTCCTCCTGCTTCTCCACCGAACCGCTCATAAACGCTGTCATCCCCTGGACCCTGTCATCCCGTGGCACTCTGTCATTCCTGGAGGGTGCGGCCCCCTTCCCAACATGCAAGTTCCTCTTCCTCCCCACCCTTTCCTTCCCTCCCTCTGAACCCCTTCCACACTCCCTTGTGCCGCACTCCTGCCTTGATCAGACAGCCCAGAATGCCCGTCCTGACGTTGGCCCAACGGACGGCAAATCCGGTCACCTTCGTATGCACCCCCCACCTTCCTTGCTGTCCGGGTGCTGTGCCCACTTTGCTGTGTCCCTTCTCTGGCTAGGTCAGGTATTTGACCGACTGTGACTGAGCACTCATCCACATCAGTACAGAGCTGGGGTATCCAGGCCGCATCGTTTTTGATAACTGCTTTTCTAGTCTTACACGTGGTGAGATGGGAGGCGGCTTGATTCAGTGGCGTTGCCCAGGATTTAGAGGGGGATAGACCCGGATGAGAGCTCAAAGGTTACGAATGCAGATGCCGGAACAGCACGTGCCTGAATTTCAGCCCCTGGAAAACCACTCACGGCGGCCTCCCCCACTCCCGGGCTTCGTGAGCGAAAAGTCTCGTGGCTTGACGTCCTTCGTGTGGGTGTCGGTCAAAACGACCCTGGTTTCCACGTCGCCAAAGTGGGGAGCCCGGATGCGGAGGGAGCCGCTCGCTGAGACCCCGTGCGGGGGACCCGTGCCTCCTTCCGCACGTCACACACAATCTGCCCCTGCTTCATTTACTACACCAGCTGCCAGCTCCTGCGGGCCGGCACAGAGATGTGTTCTGCCCCTCTGCCCTCTTGAATTTGGGTTTGCCTGCGATTGCTCTGAGTAGCAGAGCTTGGGAAGCGGGATTCCGTGAGGCTTCCAAGGCTAGATTTGTGGTAGGGCCCCTCCCTGGGCAAAGAAAGCACCAAAAAGCCAAAAAAACCTCGAGGCGTATGTGTGCCCGACAACATCCCTCGCGACCTCGTCACACGAGACCACTTAATCAGCCTGCACGTTTGCGTGTTACCCTCTACGGGAGACAACAGAACAGAGCCTACAGAAAAATCTACGCCACGGGACGTTCCGGGCTCAGTTCTTCGGGGACGGACCCAGCTGGGCGGTGTCGGCACGTATAAAGTTGCTTCCTGGAAAGAAAAGCCTCAGTGTCACGACTCCCCGTGGGAGAGATCCCCTGCTGCAGATTCTAAGGAGCCTCCCGGCTTCCACCAGACTCTCTTGATCTGTTTCCCGTGGGGAAGGCCAGCTGCCAGGCTGTGGGGAGGCTCCCGCCACCCAAACGGACAGCCTGCAGACAGACGGACAGGCGACAGACAGATGTCTGGCCAACCCCGGCCCCGCCTACCGTCCCAGGCCAGGTACCAGACACGATGCCTGAGGGAGAGAGCCTTGGGAGGTCCCGGCCTCGGCCACCGGCTGCTTACAGCCTTATGAAGGTGAGAGCCACCAGCTGGGCCCCTCAGCCCGCGAGAACAATGGGAGACGGTAACTGGCCTTGGCCACCAAGCCGTGGAGCCGTTTGCCACGTAGCGCAGATAACTGGAACGCAATGCTTTATTGTCGCGCCGTGTAAAATCCTCTTTGTTAGGACCCACTGGAAGAACTTTGCAACTCAAGCTTGATACTGAGAACTCGTGAGTAGCAAATTGTCCCTCTGTCATCCACTCACTTGCAGTGAATACTGACTTTTATGGTCCAGATTCAGTCCTTTTGCATGGGTTGCCAGGAAGCTCAGAGCCACACGGTGCCTTTTTTTTTTTTTTAATGTTTACTTATTGATTTTTGAGAGAGAGAGAGAGAGACAGCATGAACAGGGGAGGGGCAGACAGAGAGGGAGACACAGCCCCAAGCAGGCCCCAGGCTCCGAGCCGTCGGCACAGAACCCGACGCGGGGCTTGACCTCATGAAATGTGAGATCGTGACCTGAGCCGAAGTCGGATGCTCCACCGACTGAGCCCCACCGGCCGCCCCAAATGCTGCCCTTTTGGAAGAAAGCACGTAGGAGATCTTTTGCAATGATGGTTGGCCTTTTATTCTATTTTGTCACCGCTGTTTTTTCCCCTTTATTTTTAACCCCCCACTTTTTTTTTTTTAATTTTTTTTTCAACGTTTTTTATTTATTTTTGGGACAGAGAGAGACAGAGCATGAACGGGGGAGGGGCAGAGAGAGAGGGAGACACAGAATCGGAAACAGGCTCCAGGCTCCGAGCCATCAGCCCAGAGCCCGACACGGGGCTCGAACTCACGGACCGCGAGATCGTGACCTGGCTGAAGTCGGCCGCTTAACCGACTGCGCACCCAGGCGCCCCTTACCCCCCACTTTTATGCTCACTTCAAACTTTCATATTCTCCCAAGCTTTCTTAAATCACTTTTGTAAAAAGGTAGGGTGCAGTTCACCTAAGTGAATACAGTGTTTTCCGAGAACTGCACGGGACTTACAAAGGGGTCACAAAGTACAAACAGACAAACAACCCCCCACCCCCCTTGCTGGCTGCCTCCCACTGTCTCAAGCTTCCGTGCTCATTTCTCCCTTCACTGCCAAGCTTTTGGAAAGACTGGTCTATAGTCCCCATCCACACTTTGTCGATGTTCAATCACCCCGTAACCCGGTGGTTCCCAGACTTGTCTACCCATTAAGATTATCTGAGTATTTTTTTTAAACTTCCCAAGCCCAGGTCGAACCCCAGATCAATAAGTCACAATGTCCAGTGGCAGGACCCAAGAATTGGTGTTGGAAACTCCCCAGGAAATTCTGGTTTCAGCGGGAGTCCCTGCCGTCACGTTTTGCAGGCTGCTTCCTCGAGGGCCACCGATGAAATTACTCTCTAATAGCTAAATCGAACGCTACCTTCCTATTCTTTATCCTGCTTTCTTCCCCCAAGCGTTTGGAGTAGGTGTCCACCAGCTAAGCACACGGGCCGAGCATTCGAGGCCCTTCCACGGCGTGACCTCTAACAGAGTCGGAGCCTGGTGCCGTGTCCATGAATGGGTTCAGTGGGACTTGGGGGACCGCGCGGGGGCAGGACGCGGACCCCGGAAGCGAGGCCCGTTCTCTAATGTGGGAAGGGTGGACCCGGCTGTGGACAGCAGGAAAGCCTCCTGGGAGACCCCCCGGAACGTGCCTGTCGGCCGAGCATCCCGCCCGCTCCTGTTCTGTGCCGGCATCATGGGGAAGCGCCGGGAGATGCTGTGGGCGCCCACGGCCCACTCACCCTTCACCCCAGGGGAAGGCAGGCGGTCGGGAAAGGCTTCACGGAGAAGGTGGCTTCCGAACAAGAGGAAGTATCCAGAACGCGTACAGACGGGCAGCGTAAGCGGCGGCCCAGGTCGCTGGGCAGAATCGGGGGGGGGGGGGGGCGGGAAGGCAGGTACACGGAGCCCCCCTGCGTGCCGGCGGTGGGTCGGAAACTGTCAGGTTGTGGCCCCCGGTGAAGCTGACTCGGAGAGCGTAAGGGTGCGGGAGGCTCTCGGCCCCGCTCCCGTTAAAGGGAAGTAGGAATGGACGGAAGGAGGTGGACCGTGGGGTGGGCTTGAGGGAGGCCTCACCGCCTGCACGCGCGTCTCTGGGGACCAGAGTGTGAACGGCTTCTCAATGGTCACACGGCCCATACATCTGGGAGAAGAAATCCGAACCTGATTCAGGTTCCGAAGTCCACGTTCACCCCTGCTCGCGCGTTCTCCGATCTGGACGTGGAGTGATATCACCTCCAAGGACGTCAAAATTGGCTTTCGGTGAAAGCACCCTTAGATGGCCCAATGATTTGTGGCGCCCCAAAGGGGCACGGAACGTGACAAGTATATACTGTTATTTGTGCCACTAAGATTTCCAGCGGGGGTGGAGGGTAATTAGGAAACACTGCCTAAAAAGGCTTGGGGAGGGGACAGCAGTGACCCCAAGGTTGGAACACACTGTTCAGGGCAGACTTAGTGGGGTTAAGAGGCACAGCATAAAATCAGTTTATACGCACTGGGACTAAATTACGGAGGAATTACAAAATGTCAGGGCCGGCACCTTGAACTTCTCCAGACGGTGGGGAACCATCTGGCATTTTCCATCAGAAGAGTAGCATATGCTTTAGCAAAGTACCAGGAGCGGCAGAGTGAGGGTTGGTGGGAGACGACGGGACAAGGGAGGCGGGGCCATAAACCAAATAGGAGGTGAAGAGAGACCCAGCCGCTGACCCAACGTCAAATCCGTGATGATGTCACCCAGAGATTCTTTTTTTTTTAATTTTTTTAATGCTTATTTATTTTTGAGAGAGAGAGAGAGAGAGAGATGGAGTGTGAGCGGGGGAGGGGCGGAGAGAGAAGGAAACACAGAATCCGAAGCAGGCTCCGGGCTCCGAGCTGTCAGCACAGAGCCCGACGCAGGGCTCGAACCCACGAACCGTGAGATCATGACCTGAGCCGAAACCAGATGCTCAACCGACTGAGCCACCCAGGCGCCCCTAGAGATTCTCAACTAATTAATTCTTCAAAGGCTCTATTTCCAGATCAGGTCACATTCCGAGCATCCGAGGGGACGTGAACTCTGGCGGACGCTGTTCAACTCCCACCTGGGTGTAGAGCGTGGCGTAGAGAACTTGATGGTGAGTCGTAGACAAGCCATAGGGCTACGTTTTGTTTTTAGGGAAGGGCGTTTCTTTGATAAGACAGAGACATGGTGTTTTTGCAGGCAGGAGGGGTGCCTGACGGAGGGAGCGGAGAAAGAGGACGGTAAGGATCAAAAGCACAAGGAGAGGACCGGGCTTGACCAAAGACGACATTCCACTGGCAGGGTCAGCTGCAAACGGGAGCAGAAAGGTGAAGGAAGACACGACGAGGGTAAGAAGGCAGGTTGGAGGATCCTTCAGCAGGTCGGTGAGCTGTCTGCTGAGACATCATGCGGGGATACCCTTGGGCTGGACGGGTTAACAAGTAAAGCTGAGGCTTGAAACACCGCCTGGGAGTAAGGGACAATGTGTGACCCCATGCTGAGCAGCAGCGAGGGTCTGGCTGAGGCTCCGGAAGGCCATTCCTTGAAAAGAACTTTGCTGAGTGAGGACATTGACAAAACCAGCCTGCCCCGCTTGGTCAAACGCTGAACTGGACGAGGAAATCTCAGGACAGGTCATTCATCTTTGAAACTGCTCGTCTCATTAAAGAAAACAACACCTAAGCACCACATTCACCATTAAGTCAGGAGGAGAAAACAGCACGCAATCTAACATTTGGTTGGTTTTATATTTAGGGCCAAAACCCCATTTCTAACAAATCCAGCCCCGCATTCAAATCATTTCCAGATCTGCAGACTTGAGGGTGAGCTTTACGAGTTACAGTGAAACCAAGAGACCTTGGAGGCCGGAGTGGGGGTGGCTGTGTTCTCCAACCCGATGTGGAATGACAGAGAGGTATCCTTTCCGATGGCTGGGCAAAGAAAGTCATCTCAGCAGGTGGCTGCGCCCCCGGAACTGGATGTGCCCGGGAGAGCCCGGGGCCGCTGCAAGTCAGACCGGTCATAGTGTCCATCCATAAACGGATTCTGTCAGAATCTCTGCCGTGGGGTCCACCTGCGTGGGAGGGAGAATCAGCAGGGAGCAGACGGGGGCGGGGGGGGATCCTACATTCATATTTCAGATTCAGACAACCCTCCCTTCCCTGCCCCAAGCTTCGCCGTCCAACGCGGAGATGGGCAAAGGCCAGAACAGACTATAGAGCTCGCAGACCCGGAGAGGAAGGGGGTGGGGGGTGAGGAGGGGGGGGAGCAAGGGTTCCAGAGCTAGCCCGGCGTAAACGACAGCGAGGCCCCGTGACGGCTCTTGGCTCTGTGCCCCGGCGGTTGTCAAGACCCTGGGCTCCAGACGTTCCGTTGGTCTGCTTAAGCAAGTCCGGTCCTCAGGTCTTTGAACTAAAGACCCACGTTTTTGCCTTTAGTGCCTTGGTGTGTCATCGACTTGCACAACCTTACCCCACGGGCCTTTGCCTTGGTTTGAATGTGTTTGTTTTTTTTTTAATTTTTTTTTCCAACGTTTATTTATTTTTGGGACAGAGAGAGACAGAGCATGGACGGGGGAGTGGCAGAGAGAGAGGGAGACACAGAATCGGAAACAGGCTCCAGGCTCTGAGCCATTAGCCCAGAGCCCGACGCGGGGCTCGAACTCACGGACCGCGAGATCGTGACCTGGCTGAAGTCGGACGCTTAACCGACTGCGCCACCCAGGCGCCCTTGGTTTGAATGTTTAACTGCCACTAACCAGGGGCGCCTGGGGGGCTCGGTCGGTTGAGCGTGCGACTTTGGCTCAGGTCATGATCTCACGGTTCGTGAGTTCGAGCCCCGCGTCAGGGGCTCTGTGCTGACGGCTCGGAGCCTGGAGCCCGCTTCGGATTCTGGGTCTCCCCCTCTCTCTGCCCCTCCCCTGCTCTCTCTCTCAAAAATAAACAAACATTAAAAAAAATAACCGCCACCCACCTGCCCAAGTGCCCCGAGACTGTAACTGTCGGCGGCTGTCCTCGGACACGGCCGCATGCTCTGTTTTACCACCTGGAAGATGCAGAGGACAGGAACATCTGGTACCCCAAGTATGTGGAAAGATTTAGATGAAGGCACCCCACACGCAATATGATTAAAGAGCAGTGTGAGAATGTCAAATGCTATAAATACGGATAATATAATGATAACTGAGAAGCGGTTGGCTAATTGAAGCCAGTCCCCAGAGCTATCCTGTAATTATGGTATGCTTGTGTCAGATAAGCCCTGAAGCATGGCAAGGACCCCTGACGCAAACAGGCAGGTCACATAATTTGCATCTCACTAATTTCTGAGATACCCAGGCGACCGCAAGAGGCATTCTTCAGAGTTTTGGTAAGTCAAGAGAATTTCTTGACCTCAGCACTGTTTGTCTGCCTGGCTTTATGGTGCGTGACCTCCGCCACAGACTGGCAGTTCTAAGAGAGACCTGGGGGGTGGGTGGGGGGGAGGTGGGGATGCCTGGGTGGTCGGGTGGGTTAAGTGTCTGACTTCAGCTCAGGTCACGATCTCATGGTTCATGGGTTCGAGCCCCATGTCGGACTCTGTGCCGACAGCTCGGAGCCTGGAGCCTGCTTCTCATTCTGTGTCTCCCCCTCTCTCTGCCCCTTCCCCGCTAATGCTCTCTCTCTCTCTCTCTCTCTCTCTCTCTCAAAAATAAGTAAACACTTTTTAAAAATTTTGAGAGACTGGGTCTTTTAGAAATCCATCCGAGTGTGAAATGCGAGGACAAGGTTTTCCTCGGCCTGAATAGATGAGAAAGGAAAAAAAAAAAAAATCAGGGGTGAGGGATATACGCTTTCAAGGTCAACAATCCCTAAATCAAGGACTAGGACTTTAGTGTTCACAGTAACATTACCTTTTGTTGAAGTGTTGGTACGTATCCCCAATTCCCCGGCCAGATTTCAATGGTTGCTATGTCCCCCAATAAGGCAGTTGTGCTCTTAATTTGACGACTAAAACCACCAGGGCGCCAAACGCTTGTCGATCTGTTTATTGGAGAGACGTTGTTGAGGCGGGAGTCTGGACGGGATTGGTGTTGAATCCCGGGCACCTCAATTCCTTAAACATGCCCTACTTTCTACGCCCTCCCCACTAGTCTGTAGGCTCCGTGAGGGCAGAAAGCATATTTGCCTCCATTGTCATCACATCCCCGGGGCCCAGTGCCATGGCCCTCAATCCGTGGCTGTGCTCTGTGCACCTGGAGGCCTGTTCCAGTTTCCCTTCTAACTGGTCATTTAAAAATAGTTTGATGGGGCGCCAGTCAGTTCTCCCTCTCTCTGCCCCTCCCCCCCATTTGTCGAGAGAGAGAGAGAGAGAGAGAGAGAGAGAGCGCGAGCATGAAAAGGGGAGGGGCAGAGAGAGAGGGAGACACAGAATCCGAAGCAGGCTCCAGGCTCCGAGCTGTCAGCCCCAAAGCCTGACGTGGGGCTCGAACCCACGAACCGCGAGATCATGACCTGAGTTGAAGTTGGACGCTTAATTGACTGAGCCACCCAGGCACCCCTAAAAAGTAATAAAAAATAACTTTAAAAAAGTTTGCCCCTTTTACTCCCTGTAGTCCTATCTTGAGTTCTTATCACACCAGGTCACCCGATCCTGGAAGCCTGCATTTACTACCCTCTGTCTCGACCTCAAATGCACGTTATCACCAGAGAACTGTGCGTTATGATGTCGGCAGCCCAGGCTGCATGCGCCGTTTCCAGCCCCTTCCAAATAATTTTCTCTGTGAATCACGAGGCTCCTCCTGTGTGAGTCAAACCTTCCCTCCACAGCAACTGGCTCCACAGGCTTATCTGGGCGTCTGTCTCGCTCTTCTTCTAAATTCAAGCTAAAGCCCTTCTGATCAGGTCACGTTGCCGCCGTGACCTAAACATCCACCCCGACCCTCTCCAGGGCATTCCTTCCCCAGCCAGGTGTCAGCGTGCTGTTTCAGCTGTTTCAGCCAGCTGTTGGGCTTGGTTGCAGGGTTATTTAGAGACTCTGATAGTCAGACTTTCTTCTTTATCGGCTACCGAATCACTCCGGCTCAATTTCCAGCCATTCCTCCCCTTCGAGACGGTCCGTGGAGGAAGGGAGAGTTTCACCCACCCACCCCCACCTTCACCCCCAAGCTGAGAGTAGAGACCCAGGAAGCCCAGTCCCTTCCCTCACAGCACCTTGATGTTTGCAGAAGGATCACAATCACGGGTGACTAAGAAACCCCGCTTTATTTTTGAAAGTCTAACGAGATAAGGTTTATTTTGTTCTCTTACATCATCTCTATTTTTTTTTCATGTTGATTTATTTATTTTCAGAGAGAGATGGACCGGGTCAGAGAGAGAGAGAGAGAGAGAGGAAGAGAGAATCCCAAGCAGGTTCCACGTTGTCAGTGCAGAGCCCGACCCGGGGCTCGAACTTGTGAACTGTGACATCATGACCTGAGCCGAAATCCAGAGTCAGACGCTTAACTGACTGAGCCACCCAGGTGCCCCTTTTATGTATTCTTTATTAAAGGAATCACTCATCCATCAGATTTTGAGGCACATGGCATTTGGAAAACTGTGAAAAATGCCTTTCCCTTTGCTCTGTCAAACGAGGAAAGAGGATAGATTTTTTAAAAAATAGATCAATAAATTCTGAGAACGTAGAGTGGAAAGTGTGAACAAATTTGCGCCAGACGCACGGTCCGCGAGGAACAAGGGGGCTAAGAGGGAGGGAAGAAGACATTACGGTTGGGTGGGTTTCAAGGAAGTGTCTCTTTTTGGCCATCCTTCCCCTTACCAGCCAGTCCCCAGCCTCGGAAGAACGCAAACACCTGTCTCCTCGGCTTTTCATCGCGGGCCGCCAAGCATCAGCATGAAAACCTGTGCCGCGTTAGCAACATCAAGTGCGCCCTCAATGCCACTCACGAGTCCTCGTACTCACTCATTGTTGACCTCCTGAGGTTCCCAGTCCAACCACACCTGGGTATGGCGTGAACTCCAGAGCCACAGGTCCAGAGAGACGGAGACAGGCTGACCCGTGCGCAGAGGCTTAGTGACTCACGCCCTGCCTTCCGAGGGATTCTTGAAGGAATGTGTGATGTTTTAGGTCATGATCTCATGGTTTGTGAGTTCGAGCCCCACATGGGGCTCTGTGCTGACAGCTCGGAGCCTGGAGCCTGCTTCGGATTCCGTGTTTCCCTCTCTCCCTTCCCCTCCCCCACTAGCACTCTCTCTCTCTCTCTCTCTCTCTCTCTCAAAAATAAACGTCAAAAAGATAAATAAATGGGCTTAATGCCTCATGGTTGTCACGGGATCACAAAGCACAGAACGAAGTCATTAGATTGGTGCTGTAGACGGCTGTGGGGTGTTGTGTGAGCCAGTGTGGGCTCTGGAGCAAGGGACGCTGGGAGAATTCTGAATCAGGGCCGTGGAGCAGGGAAGAAGGAGGACGAGACGAAGTAGATAATGT